TGTACTTGGACCTGTGTCCAGTTTTGGGCCTATCGCTGCAAGAAAGACATTGAGGCTCTGGAGCAGGTTCAAAGAAGGGCAACAAAGCTGGTGAGGGGTCTGGAGCAAAGGCCTTATGAGGAGCAGCTGAAGGACCTGGGATTGTTCAGTCCGGAGAAGAGGAGGCTCAGGGGAGACCTTACTGCTCTCTCTCTCTCTCTCTTATTACCTGAAGAGAGATTGTAGTGAGCTGGGGATCAGCCTCTTCTCTTGTGTAACTGGTGATAGAACTAGAGGGAATGACTTCAAGCTGCACCAGGGGAGATTCAGGCTGGATGTTAGGAAATACTGCTTTTCTGAAAGAGTGGTCAGGCACTGGAATGGGCTGCTCAGGAAGGTGGTGGAGTCATTGACCCTGGAGGTGTTCAAGGTACATTTGGATTTTCTGTTGAGAGACAGTAGGTTTAGTATCACCTATTGGTGATAGGTGGATAGTTGAACTGGATGACCTTGAAGGTCTTTTCCAACGTTGGTTATTCTGTGATTCTGTGATTCTGTGATTTTGTTATTCTACACTATAGAAATGATGTTATTGTGATGGTGTCAGATATTGATGAAAAGACTGCTCAGTTTTAGTTTCAGATCAAAGAAAGTACCTTATTTTAAATGTTCATGAATGCAAATAGAGCATAAGCAAGAACTGGAATGATTTTCCAGTTCAGTGTCATCAGTAACAACCCATGAAGTTTATTTTGTGTGCAATAAAGTTAGGGAAGCACAGATAATTGAGATAACTGAAGGAGGGACTTCACACAACAAACAAGAAGGAGGGCTGCTTCAAAAGTAATGCCTCCTATTTTGTTATGTTGGCCTACAACTTATTTCTCCTATGCAATTGATGACAGCATGGGGCAGTGCGATAAAACAGCATCTGGCATGGAAGTGTATACGTAGTAGAAGTGTGTCACTGAATATCTTCACACAGAAAAAAGAAGAAAAAAAAATGCACCCATTGATGCAGACATTCATCAGTGGTTGCTAAATGTTTATGGAGACCGAGCAGTGTATGTGGGCACAAGGAGGCAGCGCATTTCAGCAGCAGCAGCAGCTCCTCTGGTACAGATATTTTATGAGCTCAATAGGCAGGCTCTTGTTCACTGCTATTGAAAATATATAGCTAATGGCTGTGACTGTGTTGAAAAATAGGATTTTGTAGATGAGAATTTACTCAATCACTGTTATTGTGCTCTTTATATCTACTGCAATTTCTATGGAAATAAAGGGGAGGCATTACTTTCAGAGCAACCTTTGTAGCTTTTTTTTTACTGTTCTGTCTTGTGGTTCAAAACAGCAAAGGCTAAGCATGTAAGATCTTAGTAGGGATCTCAATAACTGAGGTAATGTCAGTTACAGACCATGACCAAATTTGATCCTTAAATAAATAAAAATGAAGCACACTGTATTAATATGACTATAATGTGAATTCCATATTCTAGTCTAGAGGTTACATTTTAAAGAGCATACTGATAAATGCTGAAGGTTGAGAAAACCCTCGCAAGGATGAATCATAGTCTGTAAAATATGTCTTGTAGGAGACTAAGGAAAAAGAATATAATTATCTCAACAGTAAGAAGGTTGGAAGGTTGAGTAATCATGATCTGTAAAGTATATAAGTTGCAAAATGAAGTTAATAACGCGTGGCTCTTAAATTTAATAGACAAAGTCAAAGTGAAGTCCAGTATTGCAAAATTATGTGTCAGGAACGTGATTTCAACAGTGAGAGTATCTATTTACTGGTTAAAAAAAAAAAAAAAGAAAAAGAAAAATTCACATGTTATAGTTCAAGATAGCATTATGTGACATTATGAAAAGTATACCTGGTCAAGTACTTGAGTACTTGGCCAACATAGTGAAAGATCTCTGTAGAAATATATATATTTCTACATATATTTCATTCATTTCATCTACATATATATATTACATATATATATATTATATATATACATATAATATATTTCTGTATTATAATATATATATTTCCCCTCAGTTTACCTAGGGGAATTATTGGACTCATTCTAGTTCCTTTTAATTCTGTTCTGTTCTGTTGTTTGACCTTGTATTCTTCTGCAATTCTCATTTGCTTGAAGTCTTATGAAGAACAATTCTGCTTACTGCCTTTTATCACCTTCTTATCCATGAAATGAAGTCATCTAGCGACCTGAGTAGAAAATACTTTGTGGATTTCAATCCACTTAAGATAAGCCTTTTGAAACTTGCAGGCAGTGGAAGAGTGCATTCCAACCTCATAAAGTATATCAGGTCCATTCACTTGCTGATTCACCTTTGCATGAGAATGACTGGATGGGAATCAGTATTTTAAATATTTAGTAAGATAACCAAACAAACACAGTAGAGAGGCAACAAATCAATAACTGTTTACACAGTTGTAGAAAGCTCCTCTTTTTCTGCTTCAAGTTTGTATTCTGAATATGAATAGTTTGAATTGAGTAGCTAGCCAAACAAGTATCATTTGAGAGGGACTTATTTTATAAAAGTCTCTTATCCTTATGCTTCAAAGCATCAGTACACAGCACGCTATACCTGATTTCAAATGTATTTGTAAATTTTACAGTGATTGGACATGGGAGACCAAATCATGCCTCAGTCTGACTGACACAAAAAGAGGTTTCTTGGGATGGAACCCAGCAGTTTGGCCGCCTCTCTTCAGTCAAACTGTCATGCATTGTGATTTCTTTGGATTTCACAAGTTACAAGTAGATTCAAGTTGGGTTAACACTAGGATGCAATTCCTCCTTGTAAAAAGTGATGGTATTACTTAGCAAGTGGTATTCTCTCTGAATGATTGCTCCTGAACTCTGCTTGGTGTTATAAGTATGCAGTGGATTGCTGCAGATACACTCCCAAATAAACCAGAAGTTCCGATTGTACATTTAGCTTTTTGAAAGTTAGAGGAGGAGAAAAGTACATTCCAATGTTTTGACCAAATGGCTTTTACTTAAAATCTTTTATCATATCCTTGGATAGAATCTAGGGAGAGTTTAGTTTTATTGCTATGTTTGTGCATATTTAGGACATAGCTGCAAACCTCAGTTTCAAATCTAAGAGATAATCCTTTAGTAACTTGTAATAATTGCCTTCTGATACTCTAACACAGGTAGGAGATTATTTGTCAGATTAACTAGTGCATACTTTAATATTTTCCAAATTTATCTTGCAAAAAGCATCAAAATAAAGACTGTCCTGCAAAATTTGGGACAGATGGCAGTGCAAGATGACTTCTTTTCTAAATGTGTCAAAATGTTCACTCAGTCACACAGCATGATTGGTTGCAGATTCTGGATGCGTTATTAAAATAACAAAAGCAGTAAAACTCGCTTGCATGAACACCTGCTGCTAGAGTCTTACTTAGTACTTAGCTTATTTAAAATAAGTAAGGCAAAACATATAATTAATATAAAAATAATTAATTCACTGGAAAATAACTGTTCAATGTAGCTATTGCATTACTTAAAATGTTTTAAGTTGGCAAATAGATGACTTAAATTCAAAACATTTAAAAGCTCCCTTTGTAAGCGATGCTGAAGTGATCTTGATTTGACACTTCATGTAGTATAACAAGGCAGTATATAAGAACAGACACATAACAGGCCTGATGCTACCTGTGAAATGGCATCTTTAAATCAGGTAGTATATATTTTCATGCCAGCTGAAACAGGAAAGCATAGCAGTGATGGATAAGTCCACTAGCACAGACAGAATTCAAATTTGAGGAAACAAAGTGCTGTCTACTCTGCTCTGTGAATCTGTAGTGGCGGTAGAAACAAAGTAACTACTACAACTGAAGAGCTGCTGATGGTATTTATTATTCCAGCAGTTGAAAACGACAAATCTTACTAAGTCTATTTATGTATTGTGACAGGAAGTCTCATCAAAGCATGAAGAGGATTTTTGTTTCAAATAACGTGGTCTAGAGCAGTCACAGCCCTGGGATGATGGTTAGACTAGATGATCTTTCCAATCTGAATGATTCTACGGTTCAATGAAACAATGAAGAAATGTTCAAGACCCCTTTCTTTTGTTCTTTGCCAGGCTGGATAACTCAGTCAGCACTCACCTGGCCTGATCTCAGGGCCTCACACTCTGGCTAATGATAATTGCTGTTACTGAACTGATCAAAAGGACATGCTGAGAAGTGAAACAAGGCATATTTGCTACACCATCCTTAGTCTGATATTATACACAGGAAATGAACCAGAGACTGTGTTGCACTACTGAGCAATAACCACAGGGCCCTTCTCCAGCCCTTACTCTTGACCTTCACAACAATGGTTAGCGAACTCAAATATTAACATTAAATAACCAATCTCCTTATGGGGGACAAAAAAAAAAAAAAAAAAAAAAAAAAAAAAAGTGTTTACAAGGATGGGGTACTGGGCAATGTTTTCGTTGCCATTTTTGTATGGGAGGAAAGAGAACAGCAGCAAAAGTCTTCAGTGATTGATGTGCAATTATACTGTTAGCTTAGTGTAAAATCATACTGGTGAATTCAGGCTGGCACCGGAGAAACTGCTGTCTTAAAGGGTTAACCACTGCTGCTCTTGCCGTACGCGATGGTGAGGCAGTGGAGCGGCGGTCCGCAAGGTGTGACCCCCCCGGCATCTCGCCGCCGCCGCACGGCTCTCGCTCCGCGTCGCCGTGCCCACCTGTTCCGCCCCCGGGCCCGGCCGCCGCTGCTCGGCGCGAGGATGCGATGCTCCTCGCAAGAGGCTGGGGATGGAGATACGGTTTCTGTAGTGATGGGGCAGACTGCGGAGAGCTATTGGCTGCCGGCTTTGTAAATTTCATTCAGTTTGATCCAATAGCAGGAGGAGTGCGCCTGGTACAGCCTGGACCTCTCTCTCCCGCTCCCTCCCCGCTCGCCTTGCCTTGCAGATCAGCCTCCCCGGCTCGGGCTCTGCATAGGCAATCACAGCCCCTGCTCGCAGACCCAACTCACCCTCTTGCACCGATTGCAATGAATTTTATGCCTGAATGTAGGTCGCTGACAGCCGAGAGCACGAGTTTCCTGCGCATCCAGTGCTGTTTTATTTCCTGTTGATATTTTTAATTTTTCTTCCCCTCCTCCTCCTCCCTCCCTTCCCCAATTCATGGTCACTGCATTCCTTTGGAGAAGCAAATCGCGTTGGATTCCAAAAAGGAGAGCAGGATCCTTGTGTGATAACACCGGCTGCATGACATCCTGAGAGGATTTCCTGAAGGAATCTGGCTGTGTGAAAAAGCCCCTCCGCTTCTGCGTCTCTTCCAGCATTAAGGTAGGAGTGCTGAGCTTATCGTTTGCGTTTTCATCTTCTTTCTCTCTCTCTTTTTTTTTTTTTTTTGTTGCTTTTTTTTTTTTATTTTTTTTTTCAGCGGGGGTGGGGGAGAGGTGTTGCAGTTGGTACTCTGGCAGAGGGCGAGCAGTTTGCTGCAGTCGTTTGTGCTTTTACTTTTCCCCACCGTGATAAACCGGTACTTTCTTTCTGCCATCTCCACCATTATGCCGACCGCGATGTCACATATGCACATTTATGCAAATTTTATTTCTCTTTTATCCGCTTCGGTCTTGTCCCCGGTAGTCCCCTTGCACCATTATTTGTTTGGAGGCATTTTGCTGCAATCAGCTATTTGGAAAGGCTCTGGGGCTCTGTGTGAGATGTTTACAAAGTAGCTCTCTGCCTTACAGCCAAATAAACAGAAGAGTGTGGAGGAGAGAAGGGAAAAAAATATCTGCAGTACAGAGAGAGAGAGAGAGAGAGAGAGGAAGAGCGAAGGCACAGTTTTCTGCCAGAGCGGAGAGGAGCAGGAGCGGTGCCTCGTGCTCCGTGTGCGCCGTGGTTTGCAGGGGGACGCAAAACCAACACGTCGGGTTTTGGTTAACCACTTCCCCCGCCGCCGCCACGGCCACAGAAAGGAAAAAGGGGACGGAGGAGGATGGGGGGTGAAGAGCGAGGGAGGCGGCCCTTCAGAGGAGATCTTGACTCGTCTTGGATTAAGCGGTTCACCCGCGGTGGGTTTTTTCTCCTTTTCTTTTTCTTTAATCTTTTTTTTTCTTCTAATATATATTTTTGTATCTTTATTTTTTTTTTTCCCCATTTATTTCCTTTTTATGCATTTCTTTTTGCCTTTTTCTTTATTTCCTTCTTTCCGGGCTCGGGCAGAATGCCCGCTTTTGTGATGAGCATGAGTTCCCGCACGTGATGGAGCAGGGACTGGCACTGGGGAGAGGCAGTGTGATTGGCGCGGGGGGGGAGGGGGGCGGGGGGGGGGGGGCGGGGAGAAGGGGGAAGAGAAGAAAAAAGAAAAAAAAAAACAAAAAAAAAAAAAAGGGGGCACGCCCCCCCTCCCCCTTCCCCCCCCCGCCCGGCAGTAAATCGGCTTCTCCGCAAAGCCGGGGCGGGGGCGGGCAAGGCGGGGGCTGTCGGCGGGAGGCGCCCCCTCCCCGAGGAAAGACCGCCGCCACCCCCAGCGCCCCGGGGAGGGGGGGCGGCCCCGCCGCAGCGCCGCTTTTGGCCGCCTGTCAACTCGAGCAGCCCGCTCCCGCCTCCACACCCCGGGCAGAGTCGGGAAGACAGGGCGCGGGGGACCCCTCCGTGCTGCCGTGATGTGCCCCGGGGCACGCGTCACGGCGAGCGGGGAGCTCGGCTGGTTGCGGTGCTCAGCGCGGAGAGCGAGAAGTTTGCGGGGGACGCGGCGGTGGTGGCGGGGCGCGGCCAGGAGATGGCGGTGTGGGCCCGCGCCCGCCGCCGGGGCCGTCCCGCCGCCCGCGCTGCGGTGTCCGCCGGCTCGTGGGGGACAGAGCGGAAAGGCGGGGGGAAGTGGAAGAAAGTTCGTCGGGTGGAGCCGGGCGGTGCGGGGCCGCGCTCCGATGAAGGTGGGCTGGAGCGTGAGGGAGCGCCCGGGCACACCTCCGTTGCGCCGAGCTGAGCGCCTCGGTGGAGGCACAGAGAGCGGAGCGGGGACCGATGGAGCCGTTTGAGCTGTGGTGTTCGGGTGTTTTGCGTCTCTAGGCTGTGTGGGTGGACTGCTGCTGGTCTTACTGCTGGCATCAGTGCATACGTGTGCTTAGATATCTGGTGTTTAAAAATAAACCACAAAAATATGTAGACCTTTTTTAAAATTCCAGGCTGATTTCTGTTTTTTGGTGGTTGATAATGAAAAATGACAGCATTTATGCGTATGTTCAGAAGCAGGTGTCCTAGGGAACAAAGCATAACTGGATGGATTTACAAGCACACCAAAATGGAAATCTCTTTTCTCCTTTTAAAACATAAATGTGACAACCCCTTTGCGTATCTCCTATAAATGGAAGAGCTATAGTCTACATTCCAAGGGGCGAATTATGTTCATTGATTATTAAATTTATAAATCTAACAGTGAAGAAAGAAACTAATTTTCTATCACAGCTGGAAAAGAAGTAATTAGTTCAATTAATTATGATTCCTGCATGAAAACGCAACTTTGCTTTGTAGCACAGAGCTAATTTCATATGTCTTTTGTTTTTCCTTACGAGCCATGCTTTTGATATTGCACCAATTAATAGCACATATTGAGACATCTATGTAGGTGATATGCAATGAGTATGTGTTATGGCAGGGCATTTCATGTTTCTTTTGCTAATAGTAATGAGTAGAGGGTAGTACGCACTGCCTTATGAATCATGTTCCAATGAATCATTAAATACAGGAACAAGAAAACATGCCATGCAGTTTCTGGTAACTCAAAATCAGTGAGGCATATCATTTTCTAAGGATATTATAAAATGAGACTTAATTTTTGACCTAATTGTTCTTAGCATCTTGAAATTGTTGCTGTTTTGCTTATCAGTGGAGCTGTTATTTTTCTCTGTTCTTCTGCCTGTGTATCATATAGACACAGTTATTGTTAGTATGCTGTCTGCGAGTACAGACCATTAAGTTACACCAGGTCTTGTAACTGAAATTCAGTTTGGCATCCAAAACGCATTGTTCCTCGAGAGGGTTCTGATTCATGTCTAGTTTAATTTTTTTTCCCCTCTTTGAATTTAGTGGCCTTTAAGCTTGGTCTCTACTGTAAAGCATATGTATAGAAAGAAAATAAATTTGCTTCCTTCTCCATTTCTGGAGGGAGTGATTACTTACCTTGTGTCTTAAAGTGCAGTACAGTGCTGTGCCGCAGACATCTAGAAATAATACAAACATGTAAATGGAAAAAAATCTGTTTTTTTCTCTTATTCATCTAAGTGTGGTGCTTAGTGATGAAGTTTCAGTTTTTAAAAGACTTAACAATGGAAGCAAATGAAAGCAAGCCCTGAACAAAACACGCGCACTGGATTAAATTAGGAGAGTGTTTAAATTGATAGTCTTATGGTGATATTGTGCTATCTTATTTTTTTTTTTCTTGGAAAGACTGTCTTCTTAGTTGCATCTATGTTCCTGGGCAGTTTATTTACCTAACAAATTTTACATTTGATAAAAATCTGGATCTTAATAGGCATCCTTCGGCTGAAGATTTTTCATGTGGAGATGAAGGCAAGAGGCAGAAAGAAAAGCTGTTTAACTGAAGCTTTGTGTTACATGTATCATATAGAAACAAGGATCTGTTTGACTTTTTATTTTTTAACAAAAGAGTGATTCAAGGAACATTCACTAACAGCCACATGGAGGTTTGCTCATTTGTTTTTGACAGGTTCTCAATAAAGCCTCCTCTTGGCCTTTCAAACACGCGTGCTGCTATTTGATGGTTGAATCACATAGTGTAAAGAACAGCTCCACCTGGGTAGGACAGGAATAAGCATCATGCTATAACCAGCATATAATTTAGTCATTCTGTCACTTGAAGTCTTGTCATCAAGGTCCAAGGTCACTTCAGCATGAGTATAATTGGTTAGTGGTTAGTTGTGTGCACTGCATTATAAAACTGTGAGTCTCAAAAACAAAAAAACAAAAAACTAGTAAAAACAAAACATAAACATGAACTGCACAGATCAATATAAGTCTCATGTCCAACTGCAGCCATCCTCTGTCACAGTTCAACTCAGGTGCACTCAAGCAATGTTTGTAAAGCATTTATGCTCTGAGCCATTTCGATCCCCACATCTGACAGGGTTATGTACTCAGCTCTGTCACCTTTTAATAGTTCTCTAGTTCTCATTGTATTTGTTATAGTAGTCCCCAGATTGGATTGGGGAAAAAACAAACAAACAAACAAAAAAACCAACCACAACACTAAAAACACAGACACACAAGGTAAGGCCTTGCTATTTAGTGGAAAAAAAACAAGCTTTATAGGTAATACTCCTGGAAAATTATTTCTAGTGAGATGAGGCACAATGTTAATCAACTTTTCACAACCTGAAATTGATTTAAGGTTAGAGAAGAGAAAATTGAAAAATACAATTTATAGGCAGTTTGTAGTGGATGGATTCAAAGGGGAGGAAATTATTCTGAAGATATTACATGACAGCTCATCTCTCTTTAAGCCCTGTAAACTAGTGGGGATTTTTTTTTTTCTGAATATTTTCATCAAAAATAAGGTGCATATGAAACATGGTTACTTCATGTTTTGCATGCAAAACTCATGTGAGGATCTGAGTAGAAGCAGCCTGTATAGAAAACGGCTTTTCCTGAGATCTGCAGTGAGGCTTTGCCACAAGCATGGCTAATGCAAACCGAATGCATTAGCACATGCTGGAGTGATCCCTAGCTCAGAATGTTCATATTTGTAAGGTAATAATCTAAAAATAAATTGTAGCCTCTGATGTCACAATGTACGATTCGTTCTTTCTGCTGTCTTCTGTACTGAACCCACACACCACTTAGTCTCATACCATCTATTCTGACAAGTGGGTGCTACTGATTAGATCCAGTAGAGGGTTAGGACTTTCCATGCTTGTCTTTCTTCTGTTATTTATGGGCTCACTGAGATTCGCAACTTTGATGGGGAAGTTGAGCCTTTCAAGAGAGGTAAGCCTCAAAAGTGAATGGCACTTCTATTAGGAAAAATATTTGAGACAGTAGCACAGTGGACTGATTCAGTTCACTCTGAAAACAAGAGCAGTATGTAGCTGTCATCGTACTGTTTTTAAAATAGCTTCCTTCAAAAGTGCTCTTTTCTATTGCTTGCAAAGACTGTGACAGACTCATATTGAAGTTTGGTTCTTTTAATGTACTAATGAAAGATTTGTGAATAAATTTTTGTTTCTTTTCCTAGATTAACCAACAGCCAATTATAGTTTCATCTTAAGTGGCTGATTTGATTTCAGATGCAGACTGAATTAGCTCAACATTATTTATTT